CCCTCGTCGTCGTCGTCGTCCGTCGTTGGCGTTTCGTCGTCGTCCCTCCTATCGCGCCGTCGTCGTCGTCGTCGTCGTCGTCGTCGTCGTCGTCGTCGTCGTCGTCGTCGTCGTCGTCGTCTTCCCTCCTCCTTCGTCGTTGTCGTCGTCGGCGTCGCCGTCCTTCCTCCTTCTTCGTCGTTCGCGTCGTCGCCGTCCTCCCTCCTCCCTCGTCGTTGTCATCGTTGTCGTCGTTGTCGCCGTCGTCGACCTCCCTCCTCCCTCGTCGTCGTCTTCGTTGGCGACGTCGTCGTCTTCGTCGTCGTCGTCGGCGTCGTCGTCGTCGTCTTCGTCGTCGCCGACGTCGGCGTCGTCGTCGTCGCCGCCGTCGTCGTCGTCGTCGTCGTCGTCGTTGTCGTCGGCGTCGTTGACGTCGTCGTCGGTGTCGTCGTTGTCGTTATCGTCGGCGTCGTCATCGTCGTCGTGGGTTTTGCAAACCAAGTTGCGGGTGGATTGGTGGGATGTTTGCAAGAGCGCGGGATGTGTCAACTCGTTTGTTAAAATCAATTCCCCTTTCTAAAAAGAGAATAAATTCTACCCCCCTCCCCCCCGGACTTAACGCTTCCCCCTGGGATAGTATAACTTCATATTTATTCTGCACACTCGTCCATCCTAAATATGAAATCATATCCTCCCAGCCAAACCGGTATCCCCCCCCTGAGGTTCCCTTGTAAAAATCACTATGCGGTGACATTTGTTGTTCTAACATAACACTTGTCCACGAATCCCTTACAAAAAACGGGACGAGGTGCACACGCGCGCGTCGTCGCGCGCGCATACCGAAATCCTTCAAAAATTTCCGGTGACGGAAGGATTTCGCAATCGAGTTTCCAAAACACATACAAAAACCCAAGGTTTCGCAACATTGATTTGCTAAAAAAGCTTCCGCGCGAGCTCTTGCGAAATCTGAAGAAAACCATGGTTTTCAAGATTTTCACAGCCTGCTACCAAACGGGCGTCGCGCGCGCGCATGTCGAAATCTGTCGAACGTCCTTGCGCGTGTGCCGTCGCGAGAATCCTCTCCAAAAAACGGGACGAAGTGCAGACGCGCGCGTCGTCGCGCGCGTACGCCGAAATCCTTCAAAACCCATCGGTTTCGGAAGGATTTCGAAATCGCGCGTCCAAAAAACATACAAAAACCCAAGGTTTCGCAACACGGATGTTCAACAAAAGCGTGCGCGCGCGCTCTTGCGTCGTCGTCGTCGTCGGCGTCGTCCTCCCTCCTCCCGCGTCCTCGTCGTCGTCGTCGTCGCCTACGTCGTCCTCTGTCTTTCCTCGTGTTCGTCGTCGTCGTCCTCTTTGGCGTCGTGGTCGTTTCCGTCGTCGTTGTCGCCGTGGTCGTCCTTCCTCCTCCTCCCTCGTCGTCGTCGTCGTCCGTCGTCGGCGTCTCGTCGTCGTCCCTCCTATTTCGTCGCCGTCGTCGTCGTCGTCGTTGTCGTCGTCGTCTTCCCTCCTCCCTCGTCGTTGTCGTCGTCGGCGTCGCCGTCCTTCCTCCTTCGTCGTCGTTCGCGTCGTCGCCGTCCTCCCTCCTCCCTCGTCGTTGTCGTCGTTGTCGTCGTTTTCGCCGTCGTCATTCTCCCTCCTCCCTCGTCGTCTTCGTTGGCGACGTCGTCGTCGTCGTCTTCGTCGTCGTCGGCGTCGGCGTCGTCGACATCTTCGTCGACGTCGGCGTCGTCGTCGTCGACGTCGTCGTCGTTGTCGTCGTCGGCGTCGTTGACGTCGTCGTCGTCGTCGGTGTCGTCGTTGTCGTCGTCGTTGGCGTCGTCATCGTCGTCGTCGTGGGTTTTGCAAACCAAGTTGCGGGTGGGAGGGTGGGATGTTTGCACGAGCAGTGGAGAGGACAGCTTCAAGACGGTCAAAGTGGATTGCACCACATAGGTTGCACCGCTTAGATTGCGCCACATAGGTTGCACAATATACACTGGACCACATAAACTGCACCACGTTGATTATCCTTTCTAAAAAGAGAATAGCTTCTACCCCCCCCTGGCGTTATCGCTACCCCTTTCGGGTATGTAAATCACATATGATTATGACCACATGTCCATCCTAAATATGAAATCACAGTGTCCCAGGTCAACCGACATCCCCCCCCTGGGGTTCCTTTGTAAAAATCACTACGCGGTGACATGTATTGTTCTAACATAAGACTTCTTCACGAATCCCTTGCAAAAAACGCGACGAAGTGCACACGCGCGCGTCGTCGCGCGCGCATGCCGAAATCCTTCAAAAACCTTCGGTGTCGGAAGGATTTCGCAATCGAGTTCCCAAAAACATAAAACGCATGGTTTCGTAACACTGAGTTGCTAAAAAAACTTACGCGCGAGCTCTTGCGAAATCTTAAGAAAACCATCGGTTTTTTCAAGATTTTCACAACCTGCTACCAAACGGCTTCGCGCGCGCATGTCGAAATCTGTCGAACGCCCTTGCGCGTGTGCCGTCGCGAGAATCCTCTGCAAAAAACGGGACGAAGTGCAGACGCGCGCGTCGTCGCACGCGTATGCCGAAAACCTTGAAAACCCATCGGTTTCGGAAGGATTTCGAAAT